CATATTGCATAATATAGATATGGCCTTGACGTCTAATTGACTTTAACCAACAATGTCAAAATCATGAAATTCTCTTATTTTTCTTGAAGCTAAGAGATTCGGACCATGTGCGCAGTTTAAGATGTAAATCAGCTGACATAGATTCGGCGAAGTGACCTAAATTTGAACTTTGATATCAGTTCATCTAGATAATTTGATGAAGTGACCTACTTTAATTGTCCTTTTATGTACGTCAGAAAGCTAAGAATTGTAAACTTTCGGATATTGACTCAGAAATTAAAAGCCAGATTATACAGGGTGTTATTTCACAAAAAATAAGAATACAGTCTTAACAAGATCCAGATAAATCACTTAATGACTTGATTACAAAAGCAAGAACCATGGAAATATCAAAAACTCAAGCATCAAACATGTCAAAGGACACAAGTAGTCAGCGAGTAGTGCGGGTAAATAGCTATCCTCAGTTTAGTTTTAAATCAAACGAATTCGCACCTAAACGTTTGCAGCAACGTTTATATCAAAATATAGGCATCAAGATTTTTGATTTCCATATCTTTAAAGGCAACAAAGAATCATTGATCAGTTATGAATTATCGGTAAAGCTCGGGATTTTTACGCAAATACAATTAGTTCAAAGCAAGACGCATATTATTATTGGTGAATATTCTCAAGTTTTCAAGGCTAACGTTGACTGAAAGTTAAGTTTCATATTGATGAAAGTGATTAACATGTAGCTCAACCACCTCGGAGAGAGTACCATTCAAAGTCGAAAAGGAACTTAAAAGTTTAAAAGAAATGGATATCATTGAAAAGGTTATAGGTTTACCGCCACCATGGGTTTAGAACTTAGTAGCTGCCCCGCAAGTGAGGGTAGGAAACGGCAAAATAGTATCATATGGAAGCAAAGCATACAATTCAGTTCAAACGCGATATTCTCATGCAGAAAGAGAAGCTTTAAGTGCTGTTATCATGATTCAGTATATCTATTTGTATTTATTTGGCAAGGAATTTAAACTGATAACAGATCATGCTGAACTTCAATCAATCTTTAACAATATCAAGACTATACAGTCACCAAGATAACAACGTTGCATTCAAAGTTCACAACATATATATAGACCAGGTAAAATGATGATATCAAAAGATCTTTTCAGGCAAGCATATGCAAGACATGAAAAAAACACAAAAGCAGATCAGTATATCAGCTTTATCACTGATCACTTTGCCAGATGCATTGAATATTTAAGATGTAGGAAAAGCTACCGGAATGGACTGTATATTAAGCTGTGTAAAACATGTAAAATGCGTTAGCAAAAATGACTGAAAAACTCAAAAATGAAAATTAGATGAAAGTTTTCGATTATACAAAAACAAAAATAAAGAACTCGCAGTTGCATATACAGAAGAGGAATTTGTGCTTTTACGGGGTACAAAAGTTCAACAGAAAGTCTGCAAAAACAAACTGTTTTGCTTTCGCATAAAGGTCACTAAGGCCAAACAAAATGCAGAATATTGTTGGTTTCCACATATGAATACAATGGTGGAAGAAATGTGTAAAGCATGAATTGTTTGCCAATGTGAATCAACAAGAACTATTCCAGATCCGATCAAACCAACATTACTACCACAAGAGTTTTTTTTCTGAAGTCAGTTGTGACTTTTGTGGACCATTTCCGGATGGTTACATGCTACTAGTTGTAATGTGTGACTACAGTAGATTTCCTGTCGTTGAGAGAATCAAATCGACAGCTGTAGTGACAGTAATAACGCAATTAGAGGCGATATGTCGATATTAGGAAATCCAGAGGTACTGAAAAACAAAGTCGCGCATTCGGAGAATCTGCTGATTATTCGGGATTAAAACTTAAACGAATTACTCAATTGCACCAACAAGCAAATTGAATAGTTAAGAGATTCATGGCGCCACTACAAAAAGCAATTAATACAGCGATAGCGTCTAGATAAGATTATAAAAAGCGCTAAGTTGATATCTTCTGAATTTTCGAAACTCACCACAAAGTACTACACAAAAGGCTCCTAGTGAAGTGATATTTAATAGGAAATTAAAAACAATGATTCAAAATGACAACAAAGACACAGATATTCGAGACAGAGACAGTCTTTCAAAAACGAAAAACAAAATAAACGATGATAAGAAACGTAGAGCTCAGCCAAATAATTTGAAATTAGGAGATCGTGTGCTGTTAAAACGGGAGCAACGAAATAAATTTGAAACAGCGTATGACCCTACCCACCCCTAGAATATTTGAATTATCATTGCTATGAAAGGTTCTAAACAATCAAACCTAGAGGAAAAGATATTCAAAGTTCAGATATGTTCATGGAGAACCGAGTATATGTTTTTGTTTGCATTTTTCTTTTGGTGTATTTAAGATAACAACATGGATGAGCTTTACTTTTCGTAATTTTTGAGTGATAGCCTTTTGGTTATTTTTGGTGCATTTAAATATTAGTTACTCGATAGTATTTGAGACATCAACTTCAAACTTTAAAGGTTGTTAGGTTTCAAAGAGGAGTGCGGATTTTGATAATACGAAACTGGTCCATTGTTGATTGCAAAATATATATTACCAGCGGATGACGAAATCGTGATGCACGATTGTGAAAGCATAATGGTACGATGATGTAATAACAAAAAAAAATAATAATAGCAATATCATTGCTGATAATAGAGGCACAACAACATTTACAATAAGTCATAAATTTCAATTTCACGCAATTTGATTGATGTCTCATTAATTTCACTTTTTAAGTAATTATAAATGTCTTAAATACATGTATACATTTTTCATTTACTTATGATATAAAATGTTATATGCAAAATCAATATTTTAATTTTAACTTTCATCTTTTTGATGGGCAAAACACGATTCAATTATGAAAAGCTGTTCAAACACTTTTATAAGCGAAAACACTCTTATAAGCGCGGCGCGAAACAAAGTTTGATAAATAAAACATCGCATGAGCCCCAGCTCATAAGCCTGTTTTTGCACCGCGACCTTGCTAAGCCAAATGTCGAGAATTAAGAAGTTAAAATGACAGGGAAGCAGAGCGACAACACGCTCATCAGCGGGTGGGCGGGGCGAAATTAAATAAATAAAACATCGCCCTGCGACATTTAAGTTACTGTAATAAAACGATGGGGCGCGGAGCGAAAACATGCTTATTCGCGGGGGCGCGAGGAAAAGTTTATTTAATAAAATAATATGACTTTTGCGGTATTTTATGGTGGCTGATTTGTGCCATTCGTGTTTTCACCCAGCGACCCCGTCAAGTAAAAAGTCCAGATTTAACAATTTATAAAAACTTCGTCCCGGAACCCGTTAATAGGCGTATTTCGCTCCGCGCCCGCCATTTTAACTTGAATTAAACCCGAATTTCCGCTTTGCGGGGACGCAGTGGCAAAAACACGAATGACACAAATCAGCCACCATAGCGTTTAAATATATATCTATATTATTATGTGAAATATATCATTCAATGTTTAAGTTTGTTATTATCTATGCCAAAGCCATTGAATATTCAAATAATGTATTTGTATGAGTTTATAAATAACATTGTAATTGTATTGTGTTTTAAATTCCAATCGATATCAAGGACTTTGGGTCGTTGTCAAAATAGCGGTTAAATAACCTAAACATTTTTAAACAACACATGTTTGACATTTCTCTTTTATTAAAAAAATGTGGATTTCTTTATCAAGAAGACTACTATGATAAAGAACGCAATAAATGACGAAAACTTACGAAACACTTCCCGAAAACTAATCAGTATATATAAGTATGGTATAAATAAGGTGAAGGTTAACAATATCTTATTTAGATTTGTACAAAGTACATCATCTACATACATGTATAATTTATATATATAAACCTTAACATGATAAACAAAAAATATAGTAAATGATATAAAAAGTATTCGCAAGTTTACAAAATCGTTCAGTTTAAGTGACCTACATTTTTGCAGCTAAAAATAAACGTCCGGGTTATTGCTGAGCTCATAAATAAACAGTCTCAGGGCAAAATATTTCATTTCGGATAATTGTGTTGACTGTGCGGGCTGCATAAAATGTAAAGGGATATACTTTTAACTGCGGCATTCCATATCTTTTTTTTTCTTTAAAAAATAGTAAGACATGGGGCCAAGTTTTAAGATTATTACCCTTTGCATGTTGTGCCTTGTTTTGCTGGTCTTAGTAATTGTTTTGGCACTTGTGTGGTCTATGCCGGACTTACCTCCAACTGTGTCAAATAATAAAATTAGTTTACCTGCTGAAAAGGGACATCTAGTTTGCGATGATACACCACAGAGACTTAATGGTTACTTAAATAGGGTAAGTGGAGGGAGTTTAGGTACAGTTAGTAAAGGTATGTTAAAGTTTATAACGCTCTATATTACATTAAAGTTTCTGCAAATGAACTTTAACTTTTGAAGCTGCACGAATTTAAGTTCTGCAAATTAATTTGCAGAGTTAAGTGCTATTTTATGATTCCATTTTATTTTTGTATGTGCACCGAGACGATAATTTCTATTTTTCAATTTATCGATAAACGCATTACAAATGTTATTTGACACAGTATCCTTAAAACTACTTCCAAATGTAATGAAGGCTTAGTACAGGTGTCTCTTGCTTGAATGTTGTCTCACTTCTCTGCCTTGGATATTCATCTTTAAAGAAAATATGAGATTTTGCATAGAAACATGAGTTCGAGGTTAAACTAAAATTAACAGAGACACGTATTGGTGTCCATAATTCTTTAGTGATCTTGATCACGTGACATTCTGTATTATGTTTCAGTCATAAATCAGCATGAATATCGAATCTACGGAAGCCAAAACGTGCCACCTTTGCGTTTACGTTTTTACGCAATAGTCGTTGAATTGCATCATCTAGTATGCATTAATTTGACTTCTTACTCTATTAAGTAAGCCGTGAACATGTATATTAGTTTATGATTTAAGTTATCTATACTTGTAATTATATGTATTGCAGATTAAAATTCAAGCGTACAAGAGGCACTTTTTGAATAGCACTGCTTGGAGTAAAGAATATCGTCTTGAACTTCAACAGCATTGCACAAAGCCTTAACAATTGTTTTAAATTAAGAACATTTTAACAACACTTTATTGCAAAACCAAAAAAGAAACTTTCGCAAAGTATGTGCCAGTTGTTCAAGGGTACCACTTAGATGTACACACTTATATACATGTAGTAGCTTGTAAAACTAGTTTTGTTTGCAAAATCGGTCAGCTAATCCCCGTATAAAACCCCGATATGTTTATTCAAGATATGTTTATTCAACGTAAAAATCGAGTTTCAAAAGGATTGAAAAACTGTACTAACATATCTACATTCAAACTTGGAGAAAGTTTCTTTTTTGTTTCAGTATACGTGTACAGATATATGTTTGTTTTGTACGCTATCATAATTTAGATCTGAATAAATAGTAACTGTTGAAAGTTGATAAAATGTTTAAATGTCCTTCACTAGCTTTATGGTTTTACTGTATCCTTGCCACAAAACATTATTGACATTTCAAAGTTGTTAGTAACATACACAATTATGATTTGTACCTATATATAGATATTACGAATACAAAAGAGATATTGGCTTCTAGATATAATTCATTAACATTTAGAATGTTGTAAGTAAGATACACAAATATAATTTTTATCTATACATTATGTTTTAAGCTATCTATGTTTACAATTATATGCATTGCAGATTAGTTTTCAAATAAAAGCGTTGAACAATATACAAAATGACAAAACATATTTCCCTACATATATTAAAAGGCATTTTAAATATTCATGTTTTGTATTTTCAAACTTTATTGTCTGTATTGAAAATCCGTGGTTTATGCAAACATGGTTCTCCTTTTCATACGTCATAGGAAGCGTAAAACATTGATGATTCTTTAGTGTTCAAAAGAGGGAAATGCATCGCTTTAAAGGAAGAATATGAGTAAATAGCTTTCTAAAATAGCTTTCTAGCAGGAATTCTTAAAATTCTTATGCTTGATTTGAATTGCTTTCTAAAATGTGTATTCAACATACTTGTATATTATAGATAATTTCCGTCAGTTATGACCAAGTTAGAAAAAAAGAAGAAGAGCAGCAACAAAGATTCTTGAAAGAAAACCAAGGTCATCTTATGGCAATTTATGATAGGTACTTTTGGGAAATGAAACCGTCTGCTAAGGTTACCGGAAAAGAACAGCCTGTAAATACAAAAAGTATGTATTTAGAATATAATGACATCAGTATGATCGTTTTTCTTCTTCTGAGGGAGTATTGGTTTTTAAACCCTTTACCTTGTGTTAAAACGTTTAAAATGCGTTCAATATATAATTTAATTTTCAATACTGATTTCTTTGGCTAACAATAAATTGTGGCATTGAATAGATGGTTAAAAACCTTACAATAAATGTCCTTCATAGCTGGTGTCAATATGCAATGACTTCCACAAAAAGGTATACCTTTGCTTAATGAGATATCCTTTATAAAATGCATAACTTATTCGTATTTTATACGTTGTATATCATCAAGTAATGCAGCGTTATCTAAAGTAGTGAATATCATGTTTGTTTAATACAGAGATAAATAGTTGTATATCATGTCCCCCCAACACAACGATTTGAAATTATCATAGCCTTTTATGGACACATTTTAGATAAGAAAAACGAACGCATAACTTGTTTGTTGAACGCAAAGATAACCAAAATACATAACAGAACTAATGAACAATTTCAGATACGAAAGGCGAAGAGATGACGCCGATCCGAGTATGGCGACACGGAAAAGAACTTTTCGACACGAGCGGCTTCTTACGGTACGGAGTACGGTACAGAAATGGCCGTTTGGTAGTTCCCGTATCCGGGACTTATTTCATTTATTCATATGTTGATCTTTTCGAAGAATTTAATGACATTCCTGGAAAACCGAACATTAAAAACGCGACCAAACCTATTGAACATGCATTGTACAAATTCAATATCTTAGACGAAGCTGAAACCGAAATTGTTACAAATATACAGCCCCACGTTGTATCACGAAATAGGTATTACAATTCATACAGTAGCTTTGTATCTTCTCTTGTCAGTCTCAAAGCTGGGGATGAGATTTCTGTGAAGATTTCAGATATTTCATACATAAGATACACGAGGAACAACTACTTTGGCTTAAACCTTATTTAGATGTTTCACTTCTTTGGTTTAAACCAAATTGTGATATATCTTTTCTTTGGCTTAAACCTTGTTTTTACCTCCCCGATATGGAGCGCGTCCTCGTCGCGGTGGAGGGGCAACAGCAATAACAAATTATAAGAAATCTCATCTTAACAACCGAAAGTCTGACTTGATTAATTCAAACTTAACTGAATTTACTGAATTGCAAAATCCTAAAGTCGAAGGTACCTTTCGTCATAAGTCGTGCAACAAAAACGTTTATAAATGAATCATGACTTTCTATATTTGCACCTTTGTCTACATTAGACTTTGACAGACTCTTGTTCTAGATATTGTATTTGATTTTTATTGTACAACTGATGATGTTTGTGTAAAATTCTATGTAATATTTCTTACTGTGATATTTTAATCATAACTCTACAAACTTAACACTGTCATTCTTAACTATTAAGAAAAAAGATAAATGGAATTTAAAGATAATAGCTAACTATTCCATAACAACACCGCACAATCAACATATCTATATGATATTTAATTCTTATCAATATTTGCTGGCTGAGACTCCATTTATTACATCTTATTCTTTAAAGTCGAGTGCTTGTACGAGTTGGTCTAAAGTGTGTATTGATGTTTTGTGCAATTTGATTCTACAAAAATTTATACCATTTTGTTGATAGCCCATTATGAACATATCGTCAAAACATACATGAAATGTATTTGAAATGAAAGATATGGGCTGAGTGTTGTTAATTGTACATTTATGAATTATGTTTTACTGTTTCTTTAGATTAATAAATAACTTTTTACTATCAAAAAATATAAAAAATATATATATATTTATTATAATATATACTTTGAATTAAAAAATCATGTATAATGTATTTGTTCGTTTGTTTGCGTTGGAACTAAAAGCCTTGTTTTCACCTATGTCAGTGTATAAGTATAATAACAAGAAACAAAAATAATATGAATGACACATGGAGAGGCTTTAAATTATACATGCCAATAGACCAACATGTAAAATTATAAAAACCTAATGTCTATCTGCCTTGAATCTTAGTAAAAGTTAAACTCAATATAGAATTTTTACACATTAATTTGCTCTTGGTAAAAGCATTCTTGCTTGCTTACATATGGTTTTCATTTCTGACATCGTGTAGGAATTTCAAACTACAGGATTCGTAGGGTTCTACTTATTTGTTCAATACAATACAATACAAGGTTTTCATAGGAGTTTACTGACAGTAAAAAAGAGTCTTCTCAACCCGAAAAAGAAAGTCAGTAAAACAACAGTATTTTCCCTTTAAACCGACTTGGGAAGTTGCTGAATGCCCCAAATTTAAAATATTTGACAACAACCTGTCGACTCCGAGGTAGCATATATTATTAGAAATTGTTAAGGTATCAGAATTAAATTAAGAATACCACAGGTTAATTGACTATTGTACTTGCGATAATTGTTAAATTAATTTTAATGCCTAATTTAGGCCTGAATACGGGATCAAGTTTTTTTTCAGAATGCTCCTACTTAGTCTTTTCCTACAAGTCCGAGAAAATTGAAATGTTGAAATCCTTCTCGAAAATCATTTTAACGTTCAAAAGCTAAACACGAGTGATGTTTGCATAGTTTTCTGGAAACGGTTTTGAATTTTGAAGTCAGTATTTCTCATTAATATAATATTATATAAGTGGTCCCAGTCGGACACAATTTTGGTAATGCTCCTATTTGAACTAAGAATTTTTACAGCATTTTACTAAAGCATAGGTCATATATAATATATCTGTTAAAGGGTATAAATCTATATCTTATGAAATATTTTTATAAAATTTATCAACAGTAAAATCATATTGTTTCCATTATTATATGGTTGATTCCCGAAATAGTTGTAACATAGGATGTTTCTGTTATTTAATACACATGAATTATGTACGTAAACAGAATAAAAATTTCCGAAACAAAATATTTTTTTGCTATTTTAAGTAGTGTTTATCCGTTCAGCAATGACTTTGTGCATGCGCCACTGCTTTAAGGCAATTTTTGGCCATTTTCAATTCATACAAACATTTTGGAAGTATTCTTTTTTAAAATTCAAACAATAATTAAAGCTATATAGCTTTATACATTTCACTTTAAAGTACAATGGAGTTTTGTGCATGGTATATTTTAAAAAAAGGTTTGATAAAAACGAAATGGAAAGTTTTCATTAGCTTATTCAATGCGCGTGACCTAATGGTGGCAATTATGAACACAAAGAAGAAGAATTCGATGCAATTGAGTAAAAATTTTAAAATTAACAAGCAATTATCATAGTATTGCAAGCAATCCATAAGTCCCCTACCGGTTAGAACCCCAGCAACATTCTGAAGGGCCATTGGCAATTCACTTATGTTTCTATTTTAAGTAAATTTGTTGAAAAAGTTCTTTAAAAGTGATCACAGGAAACAGTTTTTATGTACAGACAGACGGACTGAAGGACACTCTACAGTTATTTTTTAAACATCCCTGTTATCAAAATATAACATTTTTAAAAGCAAAATTTTTAAAAAGGAGATAACTCTTGAAATAAAGATGCAAGATGTCATACCTGATGTGAGTGTAACAAAGAACAATTAGTAATGAACGTATGAATAAAGAATGATTATTTTTAATTTGAAGTAAATGAAAGTTAAAAGAACGAATAAGAAAAATTAAAAGTTTAAGGAGGAGATAACTTTGGAAATATGGATGCTAGATTTATAAACCTTGTCATATTATTATGATGTTGGAATTTGAAGAAAATCCTATCATGATTGAAGAAGTTGAAGTAAAAATTACCAATTTCTCGAAAAAAAGTCTAAGTTCAAAAGGGGCCTTATTCTGGAAATAGTCTTGCTAGAGTATTGAACTTTCTCACAAATGTTAAGTGATAATAAGAAACATATATATGAAGTTTGAAGTAGATACATTCAGAACAAAAGAAGTTATTAAAGAAAAAACAATATTTTTTTAAGTTCAAGGGAGGTAATTCTAATAAATTTTGTGCTAGAGTTGTAAACTTTGTCACATATGATGTGGTTGATGACTAGCAACTTATATTTAAAGTTTGAAGATAATACCTTAAGAAATAAAGAACTTATAGTGAAAAAACTTAAAAAACTAGAATCAGAAATCTTGAAATTCAGTCCATTTGTTGCCATAGCAACCAGAATTTTCAACATAGGAAGATAAGAAGAGAATGTGCATAATTTCCAGACTGCCATCTACCCATATGTCAAGTTTCATAAAAATATTTTCAGTACTTTTTGCGTTATCACTGGATCCAGGTTTTGTGTAAAATTTGCCATATTTTCAGTCTATTTGTTGCCATAGCAACCAGAATTTTCAGGACGAGAAAAAAAAGAAAAAGACGTGCATAATCTTCATACTGCCATCTATCCATATATCAAGTTTCATAAAAATATTTTCAGTACTTTTTGCGTTATCGCGGGATCCAGGTTACGGTAAAATTTGCCATATTTTCAGTCGATTTGTTGCTATAACAACCAGAATTCTCAACATAGGAAGAAAAGAAAAAGACGTGCATAATCTCCATACTGCCAAACATCCATATATCAAGTTTCATAAAAATATTTTCAGTACTTTTTGCGTTATCGCGGGATCCAGTTTTGTGGACGGACGGACTGACGGACGGACAGACGGACGGACGGACGGACTGACAGACAGACGGACGGAGGGTAAACCTAAAGTCCTCTCCGGTAAATCGGTAGGGGACTAATAAACATAAACTGCTCACAAATAGCATATTTCAGATTGAATGCAATGTTTTAACCTGTTTGGAATACATTTTTACCAATTACAAGCAGCTAAACGTATGTTTACTCGTGGTAATTTTGGAAATTTCCGTGGCACAAAACATGTCGACCTCGCAATTTTAAGGTAAATGTTCATGTTTGATATTTCATTAATTGTGAATAGATACAGATGGCTCAATATTTTAACGGTTACTGAAAGATATATCTTTTGTGTTATGTTTGCACGTTTAAGTATGAAATATGTCTTATATTTAAAAAAAAGGCGAGAGGTAATTTTGTGATTTTGACCGTGTCGGGTGAATTCGCTACGCCGAGTACCTTGTATATATTTTATATAGTAAACGAGTCCTTGTTATGAATTTTGTTCTTGATGATTTGGGGGTGATTATTTTATGATAATTTGATCATTATTGGCATGCAAAATATGTCGTACGCCTGTGATCCGAAAAACGTAGTTCAGTATTAAAAGTGAGCGGGATTATGATGGCATTTAAACTACGCAGTGTTAAATTTTTTTCTAGCACTGGCAGTGGACACAGTAGATAGGTCTGTATTATATGCAAAAAATCTTTGATCCGATGTCAGATCCGATTTTTAAAAATATATTTATAATGTAAAAATTTGTAATGTCATGATAATAATAAAAAATAATAATAAAAGTGTAAAAATAATAAAAGTGTATGCATTGTATCTTCTCATTTAAAAGAAAGTCCAGAAAAATAATTGTACAATGAATATGAAATCCTGTAAACGTCTTGTCTAATTTTCTATCTGACCAAACTTTTTAATGAGACCAACCGCTATTTAGACCAGATAAGCGATGTCCATTCAGTGGCCTCATTAGCGAGTTTTTACTGTATAATATTTGTTTTCTGAATTTGAAGATGGTTGGGTACTTTACATTAAACAGAGAAAATATTGTGTAGAGGAAAGACATTGCTCAGATCTGTCATGGAGACCTGATTTTGATTCATGTTACTGCGTGATCAGTATCACAATACTGAATAATCGGGTCGTTTATTATATAATCGTTAAAGCCTTTAAACTATATAGTCACACTTGGGATATGTTGCCTGCTTTTTAAATTTGTCTTCTGACGTCTTGTCTGTGATATGCAGGCTTAATATGAACACATCTGCGGATGTTTCAATATTCAAATTTTACTATTTCATATTTAAATGTTGAATTCTGCTTAAGCCGGTGCTACAGGGCGTGGACTGTAGTATTGCACTTCACAGTACCGTCCAAGAACAGCCTGTATCATTTTAAATTTTGTCGTTTTGGGCTTTCTTTAGGGATTCTCATTTTCTCTATTTTAATAACTTCAGAAAATTTCAAAATTTCATTTTGTTTAGTTCCGCCCATTGTTTTCTCGTTTAGGGCACACGCGTTCTTTTACTTGGGGATCATACGCCGCTTTTCATGGAATGACACTAGTGTCACATTTAAGGTTCCATGATAACCGCCGTATGAACACATCTGTGGATGTTTTTAAATTCAAAATTTCACCATTTTGTGTTGAAATGTTGAATTGTGCTTAAGCAGGTGTTAGGGGCGTGGACGACACCTTTTACTTTCCAGTACCGTCCATGAACGCCGAACCTACAACATTTTACAATTTTGCCGTGTTGGCTTTCTTCAAAGGATTATGTTTTTCACTATTTCGATCTTGAAATCCTAACTTTGTTTAAATGGGAAATAAATATGAAGATATCGGTATGGGTCAACCAAAAACATGCAAATATTGCTATCATCAATGAATAATGAATATTACAAGTGAAATAAAATCACAAACAAATTATCACAATTGTTTATCTTTATCAGTTTTAACATAGCGGTATCTTTGAAATTATATCACTTTCAATAAACTATAAAATTATTTTTTATATATTTTTCGTATTTGTTTAACAAACAACTTTGAAATTTTATAGTTTATAATAGTTTACCATATATAAGACTTTTAATTTATCTTTAAATAATATATTTTGATATAATTTGTTTTAAATGACCAATATACTATTGTTCTTGCATTTTAAATACCTGGAAAAAAGTTATCCTCGGAAGCATTAAAAAGCAGCAAAATTACATCAAAATTGCAGACTCGGTTTGACTGAGGCTGTACATGAGAGATGGTGAAAAAGTGCAACATCCCTCACACCACCTAGCACCGGCTTGAGCGGGACTCATTTCTCAACACTTAATAGTTTTGGTATCAATGATCTCAAAGGACCAGAAAAATATAACATCACTGAAGTGAACTACGGGGCACATTTTTACGGCTGCCACAACACTTGACACCTGTTGTTGTGATGTATAAATATCTGGAACAATATTGCATTTGAGAAAAATGCTATGCCACCGCATTAATACAACACTAAATAGTAGTGTATGAACATATTTCTTTTTGTTTCTATACAATTGAAGATTGTCATAATGTATAGATCCCCGACCTATCTAATTCTTTTTATCAGATTAGTGGTTAAATCTATTATTAATCCAATAAAAGATCAGAGTAGGAATATATCAATGCACTCAAGTCTAGTGAATGTGGTGGTAAAGGTCATATTTTACACAGCCTAATTGTCATGACTACATCAAAGAACAACACAGTAAGACACTTTGTCAAAATCTAGGTTAGCTGATATTAAAGTTCACTTTACATCTTAATCAGTGCACATGGTTCAAAGTTCATAGCTGTACATCAAAGGACAAGAAAGTAAGTCACATCATCAAAATCTAGGTCACCTGATATCAAAGTTCAATTTGACAACTAAAACTGTGCACATGGTCAAAATTTCATTGCTGTACATCAAAGGACAAGAAAGTAGGTCACTGTCCCCTTGACCCAAGGGTTTAATTCAAAGCAGTCTTGATACCAGTCCACCAAACAACATTTCAAGTCAAATATCTAAGCTGTAGCTTTCTCCCATTCAGAAAATATTTGTTTTATTTTCTGTTTTTACCATGTGTACATAATGAGAATCACTGAACCCGGGCAGGGCCAATTTTGACACCAGAGTAAAAATTTGAACAACTTTGGTAGAGGACCTATAGATGATATATTATAGCAAAAATCAAAGCTCTATGCCTTGTACCTTCAGACAAAAGGATTTTTTTGGGCTATAATTTGAACAATCTTGGTAGAGGTCTACCAGACAATGCCTTATGCAAAATATCTAAGCTCTAGGCCTTTTGGGTCTTTACAAGAAGGTATTTTAAGTTTTTACTATATGTAAGGCTGATTTTGACCCCAGGGCTATAATTTGAACAATTGCCTTCAATCGGACATATAACAATTTTATTCACAAGTAATTTGAGAAAACAATACCAGAAGCAAATAAAATATATTAAACATCATTGCAAAATTATAAAATTAATCAAAATCATATAATTATAAATTTGTGTATGACAACTCACCCCCTAAACAAAACAAAATAGACTCAACCAAAACAAGCGTCTGCTTTTTTACTTAATTATGTACTTGCATGACGATGATTTGCAAACCAAATTGAAGAGATAAACCTATTGTAAATAAAGTTTTCTTTTAAAAGGAAAGGCTTACCCAGTTGTGCCAGCATCCCATCCTTTTAAAAATGTTTGTTTTTTTTTTAAAAAAAAAAAACAAACCTTAAATCAACTCTTTATTATAAAGAAATAATTAAAAAAAAAATAAATTGACCTTATATACCAGTAAAAAAACAAGGCACTTATGTTTTTACAGGTAAAGAGCGTCAATTTATTATCACTATTTTTTAATTATTTGTATATCATAAAGGGTTTATTTAGGATTTTTTTTTTGAAATAAAGTTTCACTTTGAAAGGGGTAGGTAGGGTAACCCCAAGACCCATTTGTGCCACCAGTGTTATGCATGCAAATTTGAACAAAAGAAGGACCAGAAGTCTACTGATTATAACTGAACTGAAATATGCTGACGATAACAGTAACAACTTTTTTTTTTGTAAAAAACGAATATTTTTTTGTCAAAAACGATTTGAAATCTATTCTCTATTGTGTAAAACTAATGAAGAAAATAATCAATCGTAAAAATACTAACATTGGCTCTTCCACGTGGAGGGTATAAAAATATCTATCTATCCTAATGAATGGAAACAAGTGTGCACATTTCATTTTTCACTTCTTTTTGCAGAAAGAGTCATTCGTTTTGGCAGTTGCTAATTTAATTTAAATAGCAGCTTTATATGCAAGTAAATGCACTAAAAGACTTCGTTACGTGGTACCAATTAATATGCATGTATCAACTATGTTACACTTAAAATATGTCACTTGTCTATTGATCACAGATATAACGACAACACAGGATGCCCTATCTGTAGATCAGCACGTTTCAAGGTTAATGATATGCATGGGCTATTTCTAAATTACATTAAACTCCATGTTAGAATTGCGTTGAAATATAAGACACAGTAGATCTAAATATAACTCGATCGCAGACAAATGTGAAAGAGCTATGCAATCTGTGTGACTCGGTCACGATCCTTTGGTAAGAAGGACCGTCCTTTGGAGACTGTATACTTCAACAGTAGCCATTCTCTATTGTATAAAACTAATAAAAACAAAATAAATCATAAAAGAAACTAGCTTTTGCGTCTTGAAACGGAACATTTTCGTTTATAATTTATTTCTTCCTTCTACTTACGCTTTAAACCGATAAATCAAGTAACAAGTTTGCTTCTTAAAAAAAGAAGCATGCAAGAGGTCTTTTTACAGCTGTTGAAGATTTATTTAATCGTAAAGTAAGAACTTCTAATTAGTTGATGGCATCTGCAAAAAAAGGCAACATATCGGCTATTTCCGTCAGTCTCTCAGATTAGGAATAATTAATCGGCGAGGTGTTCCGGAGTTAAAAAAGCAGCAAAATTTTCATACACGGTTCATTAGGTCATAAAATAGTTTCTTGCGGAATTAACAACAGTTACATTAAAATTGATGTCTGCGAATGTTTTAATTCATGCATTCCATATGGAATTTACGTTCTAAATGTATACTCTGTCGACTGTTTTGCGAAGTTTTTTTAACGGACTATAACACAGTGCATATCAATATGGGTGCCCTCTTTGCGAAATCTACTCAAACGGTACCACTTGCACATGCACAGGCTGTTCTTTGCTAAAACCAAACCAGCAATGGATAAAAATCCAACTAATGCTACTTCAAATGACGAAAGGAGGTATGTCATGTGGAAAATATGTATACCACGGAACACTAGAATGTTTTATCTTCGATTGTTTATTGCAGTGTGTCCATTTTCAATTATTGCAACACATCTACATCTATATGTTACTCCCGAACAATCAATTCTGATTATGATTGGGAAGCGCTTGTCAGGAAAACTGTGTTAAAAGTATAAGGCGCATACTAAAAGATAACGTTCACAGATAAAAAGGTGCAGGATAAAGGAAAAAGTGCAATATTAAAAGCATACTGGGGTTGGGGACTAGAAGGTGACTGTCGCCAGCCTATCCTTGAAGGCATCTAGGCTGAGACTGGATTTGACCTGATATGGAAGACTATTTCAATACATGAGAGTTCTAGGAAAGTAGAAATTAAGATGATATTGGGTACAGGACTGGGGGATCAGGAAGTTCAGATTTCTAGTAGGGGTCAGATGGTTATGGTCAACATATACAAGTTTGTATTGGATTTTATAGAACATTACAAGAGAGGACTGGAGTCTGCGGCTTTCTAGGGAAGGCCACCAAAGTTCATTAAGCACTTGGGTTACACTACTGTGGAAGTTATAGTTTTTACAAACATATCTAAACCATAATTTTGCTTATGTGGATTGTTGGCTGAATGGTACTATTTGTTTCTTACCAAAAATTAATGGGAAAACATTTTTCATTAGAATGTTATTGCATATTATTTAAAGGTTAAAGAGCCCTCATAACATCCTAGCTTGAGTTCAGAAAATTGGCCATAACTTGAAATCCGTACGGTAAACTTTGTTCAAATTTTGCATACAGGTGTACTTTAAGGTATACATCTGACCTATGATGTCAATTTTTTAGTTCCTGATAGTACCCATTAGGGTCCTAATACCTTAATACCAATATAATATGTGCTACATAATTATAACCTCCTTTCAGTGTAATATTTAGATAAAAATGTTAAAAAGTTTTAGCTAAATAAAACTTTCAACAATAATTATTCTATTGTATGGTAATTGTTTCTATCATTTAAACGCGTAGTTTGACGGAAAGAGCCGAACATTTACGATTTGGATTTTTTGCGTATGATTTAAGCGTCTGACATAAATAAATTATCAAGGTTTCAAGTTTTGTTTTGAATAAAGTTTAACATAATCGAGGTTTTATTTTTCTTTTCGATGCGCAGTAAGATAAAGTAATCAAAAATGATGACCAATATTCGAGGTGAAAATATAAAGGAAATAAAAATTGCACTTAAGGTAATATTTCTGTTATTAAATTATGCTTTCTTTTTAAAACGAAATGAAGTAGTTTTAAAGTACATAAGCCTAAGTTCAGGTCTACTGAATTTATTTCTTGTTTGAAAGGCGGTAGTTATATGTGGTTTAAAAATGTAAGTTGATGTGTTTTAACATACACGATTTCTGACTCATCAGGCAGTTTTGTTGTTCTTTACCTGTTCTTTAAATACATTGTATGTTTTCATTATTATCGTTTGCAATGTATTGTATATTATATTGTTTTTCCATAGTTTTATATCTGAAACTAGCTTATCAAATATCAAAATTGACATTATAGATGATAAAAAGAAGTTTATCGGCAATATAATCTACTTTGTTAACGACTAGGTTACATTAAAAATTTTGTTATTAGTCTCAATATTTCGACTGCAAGACCGACCGATTTTATAATCTGATTTTTCATAAGCGATCATCGTCTATATAATAAAAAGCCCTAAAGCGCACAATTTGTTGGGCTCATTTGTTATCGACTAGGTTACATTCAGGAAGTTTACTTTTTTTATGTTTATACTTCTCACAGTTCTCTCCCCTGTTTTATTGATTTTGTAGTATTATTTTGAGTTCAACTTCCCGCATCGGTGTAAGAGCTGAAAATTGCATTGCATTGAGAATTTTTTTTTAATTCATCCATGTAATTATTTACATTTTTAGACACTAGAAAGTAGTTTCATTTTTAAGAAACGGGATAGGGCTGTACGCAGGTAGTTCTGGCTTCCAAAACTTGAAAAGCCGCTTTATATTTTTGTTGACATAAAAAGCGTCAGACTCGATCGTTACCAAACCTTACAAAAATAATAAGCACACGCGCAACAAAGAAAAATCTTGAGCACTTATGGATTAAAGAAAATGTTTAAATCCTTACATATCATTTTAAATAATGCAAAAATAATATAGCAAACTTTTTTGTCTTTTCAATACAGCAGATCGGCGTGCATTGTATCTTTTCAAATCGACAGCCAAATTTATATAAGTATAATTAATGTAACGACCACCTGTAACTGAAAATACACGAAAACATTAAAACATACTTTTTTAAAAAAGGATTGAAAAAGATATATAAAGATACTTTCATTGACTGATTTCAGAGATGGGTTTTCATAATATGTATCATGCTTGTTATTGTGGAGTTGGTTGTTCTGCTATTTCTTGTTGCAATCTGGCGCCTTCAAAGAGATAATCAGTTGGCACCTACACAAAAGCAAATGTGTTACCCACAAGTCAAGTTAATATTAGACCTAGATGACAATACAGCTTGTCCGGTGGGACTTGTGTCTAAATTTGATGAAACAAAAAAAGAAACAACCTGTTGTGGAAAACTGAGTGAAGTTTTAAATTCGGTCTTGAATAAGGTATTCATTGATTTAGAAATGTTTACCATACTTATTTTATTAGATCTATACTACACTTGTACACATAAATACATAATTATATACACAAGTCTTATAAATTTGTATATGTACATGTAATAGTGTAAATGTAAAAAGAGCCTCACGGTAAAATATTGTGCTAAAATGTAAAATACAGGTATATTTTATCAAACGTTTTGCTTTAAGATAAGTGTTATATTCCAGAGTGTGTTTGACAGATATAACAGCAAAATAAATCCAGGTGAGTATATTTACATTGTCAATTTAATGTATACAAAAAAGCACATATCCTGTCAAATATTTCTTTTAATGATAAGTAGAAAATTATATTTCGATTATATTTTTATTTGCATGCAAGCAAGTGAAAATAATGTTCTGATTAAAATGAAAGTTGTGTCTTATCTCGATAATTGATAGATCGATATAGTTTGTCTGGTCTCTTGAATGTAAAACCGGCTTACTGTACTTGATAGCGTAGTACATCCTTTTATTTCTTGTACATCAGACATGATTATCTACTGTTAACACCGGTGCTAGAAATACTTGTCTTAGACAAGTCGGGTTTTTGTAATTTCATCAGAAATATGACTTAATTGATATGCAGGAAAAAGAATCAAACAGCGGCTGTCCTCATAGACGGGAATATCTAGCACTCGGGTAACTGTTTAGCGTACACGGTTACCCTCGAGCTAGATATTCCGGCCGGTACCGGCTGTCGGTGTAAGATCTTTATAATCAATGATTACTAATTATAACATATCATTGAAATTGCTTTCTTCATTTCTTTATCCGATGAAACAGAAATAAGAACATATAACCCAGAGGCGTTTAACTGTAAGGCAGCAAATCAAGATATGTCTGTAACAAGACTAACTTTGGCACAAGACAAGAAATCAGGTAATTCCTTGCTTTATATCAAATGTTTAGGAAAAAATATGTCGATCGGATAGCAAATTTATCAACACAATAATGTTTATAATAGATACAAACACAAAAAAGGAGACTTTGTATTGTGTTAGGCGAACAATATCTATTGTTGATAAAGTTATAATGTCTATTTGACAATATTTCATCACGTTTAGATCTACATAACAAAAAAATTAACATATGCTAAGCCATATACACTTAAAAACTTGCAATTAGAAATTTTTTAAACTTTGTGTGAAGTGACCTATTAATTATGTACGATATATCTGCTACTATATAACAATTCAGCATATAAAACTGGTGATTTTTAATTTTCATAAGCATTCTTTTGAATATAAACTTCCCGACAAGAAATGTAATCTCGGACTCCTGTGTTACAGACACAATGATACCCTCAACGATAATATGATGTAGTCCCTATTAATGAAATATAACATTATGCAATGTTTAATAGACCTACATGTACATTCGTTTGCTTTATCAAAGGGATACAGCTGTCTTTGAAAAACATTTTATCTTTACAGAATTTACTATTTCGTGAATGTTTTCGATAGAATTGTTAGTGGTAAGAAGTTATGTAATTAATATCTCTTTTCATTGCAGTTCCTGTAGATTCGTCTCATAAATTGTATTGGGAAAGTGACCCTGCGTTGCCTAAACTTTCGGGATTAAGGTATTCGGTAGAAGATGGTCAAGTGTTTGTTGAGGAAACTGAAATTTACCATATTTTGTTACAGCTAAAATTAAATATGAGCAAAACAACGGGTGTATTGGATGAAAAAATAAGGCATAAAGTACATTTTATATCTGATAGCGGTGCGTCAGCAGTTCTGTTGGAAGATGTGACGTCACCATGTACAATGACGTCAGGTTCTGGAACAGAGAAAGCCAGCGTTGTTGAAGCTGTGTTTCGGCTTAAATATGGCGATCGGCTATATGTGAGTACAACCCATCCTGAAAGTATCGTGACTGATCCACAAAATAATCATTTTAGTATATACAGAGTTTAAGTGTCCATGGTCCTATATTGGATAAATGTTTCATCTGTGATACATATTAAGAGTAGATCTACTAAATCTAATTTATGCTCATTGTAAATCATCATAAAGACGACAAATATACAATGAAATTGTGAAGTGACCTTTAAATTATGTACAATATATCTGCTGCCTTAAATTAACTGAACATATAAAACTGATGACTTTTAATTTTCATAAAATACTGATAGAGTATGTAATGCATACAAATCTAAACAAAATTAAGTGATTGTATTTTCGTTGATCAAAAGTGGAAGTAGAATATTGATCACTGTTGATGAAACAATTATTAGATCTACATCAATTATTTACATATACATTGTTCCTTTATAAATCATAACAATAATTTAATAAAAATGAATAAAAAGCAAAGACAAAGTAACGATTTCTGGCTTATGCAATGTAAGTGCCAGGTTATAAACAGTTGAGAGAAATCTGTGTCTTTTGACAGAAAAACAAATTCTTGGATCATTAAAAAAAAGATCTAAGTTCAATTTGGCTGGCATGGAAAATCAAGCAAAGCAAGTTGAAAAGCAATCTAAACTTGAGGCCTGAATATAGACAGCCGCGAAATTTGTAGTAGCTGGTAAAGCAAAAGATGGAAGTGACCGGAGACTACGAAATAACATTAAGTAGCAAAGGAGAATGCGGAATCTATAGATCACCCGACAAAGCGATTGTGGCCATATTTACATTTTTGTATATAAGAATGCAGTGGAAAATTAAGTGCTTGTATCAATAGGCATAATGTAGTTGTAACTTTAAAAAACAGTTTGTATCTATTGTCAATATGTTTTAGATCTACATCTACTATAAATTAAGACTGACTAATTTGATCTTAAGAGAACATACTGGCATTTATTCTAGAATAAAAATGTTTGGAATAAAAAGTTATTGTTTACACTGGAACACTTCGAAGGGATATTGAACAGATTATTTCATGGTAATATTATATGGAGTAAAGGAAAATATTCGAAAATAAAATATTCTAGTGTATAAATCTGAATGACTTTAAAAACTGAAATAGTAAAATTAAGTTGAATACCAAAGTTTCCAGATTCGATATAGTACAATATATATAACCATCGGACGTAGAACATTACAATTATACCCTAACAAACTCACGCGAATATATAAATACCCCATATAAAGACCTTATCTTGAATTGATTATTTTATTCTTAACTGAAGACAAAAATACATGTTGTTCTGAAAAACGATTCTTTTACATGACGCAATTGAAGGATGGATTGCCTATTTCATAATACGGATCAGCATCTTAATTCTTTCAATATTTGTTCATGTTAACCTAAATCTTTTCGCTTTTTGTACCAAAATTATATATACCTTATGATTTATTAACCTTTATTCATGTAGAATAATGAAATTTATTATATACCTATATAATATTTTTTTAAATATTTATCGCATGTTTTCTTATAACATTTATTGCATGCACATTTATTACAAGTACGACCCGACAGAAAGAAACCCGTATCACACTCGAGTGTGATCCGGATTGACGTTGCTAGCCTTAAACCAAGTACGTCATGGTTGAATATATAAAATAAACAACTAAAGGGTAATTATAGGAGAAACTGGATCTATTACTTGTACCAGAACGGATCATACACGGTGGTACTGCGCCTCATGAGATCAAAATCTTGCAAATTCCGCTCGAGTCAATAAACAAGATCCAAATTCAAGGTACATTGTACCCCTATAATATTACTCTATTACAGGTAACGACGGAGCGGGTTATCCGTGGCCGAGTGGTTACGGTCGATGACTTCAAACCACTTGTCTCTCACCGCTGTGGGTTTGACTTGCTCCAACCTATTCTGATTCGTCATATGAGAAAGCTACCCAGTTAGCTTTCGGAACGTCAGTGGTTTTACTCAGATGGCAGTCTGTGCCCGACACAATAAACAGAGGGGAGCTGGAACATTACCATATGACCTTTACTGTATTGTAGGGACACTTAACCCAACGAAAATAATTACGACGCATTACATAATGTAATGAAACATTTACAGACTGTCTTTTTTGTACAGATAGAGTTTCGAATCCTTGTTTCAGAATGTTACGTTTTTATTCAAGCAGCAATTTTTATTTTAAAATTGATTATAGATATTTTAGCTATGCCATTACAAGTTTTGCTCCTACAGTCTGTACACTTTACAAGGGATATTTTATAAGACTGCTAATTATTTACATGAATATCGTAATTGAGGCAAAACGAGTATGTTTGCTGCCTGTGTTATGCTCTCTATATGAGAGTTTTGTCCAGGAATTATTTCACGAGGGCATAGCCCGAGTGATATTATGATGCACATCCGAACGACAAACAGTGATGTAATCAAGCGAAAAAATCACCGATTTGGATATATCATTTCGATTCTAACACGACATCAATAAATAAATGCTGCCGTACCTTGATATTAAACAAAATTGCGCCTGATTTGTTTCCGTACTTATTTTCAGCGCGTCTGATTTATTTCGTGGTTACGTCACATATATAATGATAACGTCACATCTCTAAATATAGAACATCAACTGTGACTCTATTGCATAAAATCACACACTTTCGGTTCTTCTATAATGCTGGTCGTGTTATAATTGTATTTAACGCATATATACATAAAAGAACGGTAAATCAATGTGGAATGTTTATAATTTAAAATATAGATTATACATTGCATTGGTTAAAATATTTATGTCATCGCTTAAATAAGTTAGCGGTAAATTTTCTAAGAAATCAATAAATAAAGCAAAGGCATTAACATTTGTTGAATTATTAAACAGTTTTGTTATTTAATTATTATAATATTACAATTAACCGTCCAATAATGGCATAACAAGAACCATTTGAAAAAGACATATATCAAAAAGACGTTCATAGAAAGCATTTGTACTTGATATTATTTATGATAGACAAACATTACATAATCATTTTATTTATACTAGTCGATCATTTAAACAAATTATTCCTGCTTTCAGATTATTTGTATAATGTATGTAAACCTGTTTTAAGATATACATGTAAGACACTTATACGATAACAAAACAGAACTCTCATCTACGGTGGCCGGTAGCGTCCATGATAAAGCCGCGATAGATTTAACTGTCATTTTGTAAATGTCGCTAGCAACTTTTAAATCCGCGAGATTTTATGTCAAAATTGTATAAAATGTCGCGGCTTATAGAAGCTCTTGGGTTTTTCTGTCACACTTCTGTGTCGAAAAAGTCGAGTTTTACGAAGGAAACAGCGAAATAGTAGACTAAGCAAAGCAAATATATGCCCTATTTAGAAAGCCGATTGTGTCAATTATAATGCGCGACATTTTTTATGCATACCTTCTTAAAAGCCGAGTTTGAGCATTAAGCCTCGACTTTTTTATGCCGAGAAATGACCTGCGCAAAAAGTCGCGGATTTCGGCACAAAAATCGCGGATTTTTACCCACGACTTTTTATGAAAATTTGTTGTTAAGAAACAAAAAGACGCGGCTTATAATTCCCCCCTTGACTTTTTGTAGAATTTCTACAATACTTGAAAAAATGTCGTGGATTTCTTTCTGTGCCTCGCATTTTCATAGACAAACAAGGGATAAAATGTAGAGTCTAACCATTGACGCTACCGGCCATTGAAGTCAAAATGATCCCTGCTGTTTCCAACAACTGTTATAAAATATCGGATTTATACGTTCCCCGCGACATTTTGTACGATTTCGGCAGAAAATCTCGCGGATTTGTAGGCTGCCCGCGATATTTTATGATAAAAAAAGATAACATTTCACGCGGGTTTGAAATGGTCGCAACCGGCCAACATATGCTTAAGGATTTCATATTCGCATATATAAAAACGAAATTGCTTAAGCGTTTTACAAAATATCATATCTTGTAGTGATATTGTATTGTGCGATAGTAACTTTATTCTAACAGTGCTAATTTTAGACTTAAAAATATTTTAAGAGATAGATAAAATTATTAGATACATATGCTAATAAAAAGTGTTAAATAATAAAATCAAAAACTAAAGAACATATGAAATTGAAAAACAGGATATTTATAAATATATAACAAGTATTTGACACATGTTTTACAACGGTACTTAATAAAATTTAATGACAGGATAAGTTTTCGGATCATTGAATCGTAACAATATAATAGACAAGATTTATGTCGAATGGCGCTTTCCCAGCTGTGCTACAGTAGGAAGATGACAGATCTAAATGTTGCATTGCAGTGACGAGTTGGCAACAGCGTAGAACCATTGTCATTATTTGTGCTAGTTTGAAGGACATGCACAGTTTAGAGGGACTCGATGGAGTTACATTTAGCGACCTTAAACAATCTGCCATATACTTTTATCATTTTGTTTACAATAAATATATCGTTTGCGACGAAATAAAGAGGGGATGTTTGGAACTTTAATAACCATAAAAAACTCGTCTCATTATATGAAGTGCGTTTATTATTGTTTGCTTATGTCCAAAAAATCAGGAATGTTTTGTGCGCTGTGGCATCGAATAGTTTGGACCTTAAATCATAAGATCATTTGAAAATTTAATATTTTCTTATTCTTCCAGACTAAGATTTCTTTATATAAACTAAAAGACGCCTCACATAGACACACTCCCGAAAATATTCAGCAGCATTGTTGAAATATCCCTAAGTAGTTCCATTGCATAAGCAGAGATGGAAAGGTCTGATATTATCCAATTATTTTCTTACATACATTTTGTAAAATGACTAAATTAATGAGCATTAAATACACACATTGCCAAGCACGAATCGGGAGAATGGATACATTTAATATAATATGAATGTAAAAACAAAGAGAGCATCTACCATCTAGCATGACATTATATTAGACAATGTTTTAGTACCTCTCGGTCATTTTGTGTTTTCGTTTTTTTTTATTCTGTAAAAATTAATTTGATTTCATTTTGGCTCGTATATTAATATCACAACCTTGTATGGATTAAGTGATAAAAAATATATGTCTTAAATCATTTTTTAACTATTTTTCCACAAATGAGACAAAATGGCTATGTTTCTTTTATTGCAATGGTGCTCGTAAAAAGGTCATATCATTTATTTTCCGGTCATCAACGTTTAATTAGAACCAACTTTCTTTTGCAAATTCCAAAACTATGCCAGTTAAGACGAGACTATAAGTATAATCAATACACGCCAACATATGAATTCATCGCATCAACCAGCGGTAAAGTTAAATCTATTCATATCTATTTGTAAATTTTAGTTAAAACCAGTGACATACTTTTTAAGGGTTTAACAAGACGTTGTTAATGACCAAAAAGGACGCCATTTAGAGCATATCCTGTAAAAGCTCAAAGCATGACTATTTACAACAGATGTAAGAAATCCTAATGAATTATACATTATATAAAATGTTGTTCCATATGTAAAACATTCATAAAAACTTAATGTGTATCTAAATGAATTATATAAATGTTATAAGTATTTGAAATGGGGACACATATTTAACACCCTGTATGAAAGTTTGTTCATATTCCACTATCAACAGATAGTCAAGAAAATTTAAATGAATAATATTGACTCAAAGTTTTTTTTTGTATACATGTATGTATATTATTCAGCTTAACGGGTCCAAAAGTCACATTTAAAAAAGAACAACTTTGAAAATCAACGTGAAGATAAAAAGTATTCATTTCTTAAAAATAATAATAATTTTGATGAAAATCTCATACAAAATGTCAAACTTCGTTATTAGCTTGGCTTGCTTTTCACTTGAATAGATTATCCTTTCATAAATAAACTAAAACGACCCCTGGAGTATTATACACAGAGATAGGGTAACCATTTACAGTAATTATAATCACATGTAGGTAACTATCAAAACAAAAACAATTAGATGTATTCAGTTACTAATTTTAACTTGATTACATATAACTTAATTAATGTATTTCTATCACTGTTTTAATACTTCAGTATTTTGTTATATCTGTAAAAGATGTACAGGTATATTGGTATTGTCATCATTGTGTCACCTTGCCA